TAATCCAAGAAAATTTTTTAAATACCTTCTACTTCAAGCTTTTCATGTCGGATTCACCAAATATGTCATCTTACTTAAAGTGTTGCTTGAAAGTGCACCAAACACTTGGCTGTAGAAGGTAGAATAGAAATTATAATAATAAAATCTTAATTCTAATAGAATATTAAATAAATTCTAATTAAAACTTAAAATTTTTAAATAAGCTTTAATCAAATTCAAAAGAAATCTTAAATGAATTACAAAAGAAATAATAAGAAATATTAAAGGAGTTGAAAGATAATCCACAATAAATCTTAAAAGAATCCTTAAGAAGCCTTAAAATATATTAAAATAATTACAATATATCTTGAATAAATTTCAATCAAGTCCTAATTTAATCCTAGTTGAAATCCTAATGGACTTCAAATAAATTCTAGACAAATTCTAAATTCTAAACAAAATCCTTGATAAATCCTAAACTCTAAATCAAATCCTAATCAAATATTAAATTTTAAATCAAATCCTAGATAAATTCCAAATCCTAATCAAATCCTAAATCCTAAATCAAACCCTAATCAAATCTTAATCAAATCCTAAATCCTAAACCAAATTCTAATCAAACTTTAGATCCTAAAACAAATCTTCAACAAACCTTAAACTCTAAACCAACCTCTAAACGAATCCTAAATCCTAAATTCAATCCTAATCAAATTTTAAACCTTAAACCATATCCTAGACAAATCCTAACCAAATTCTAAACCTTAAATAAAATCCTAGATGAATCCTAAATCCTAAAATAAATCCTAACTAAATCCTAACTAAATCCTATTCAAACTCCAAACCCTAAATAAATCCTAATCAAATCTTAAATCCTAAATCAAATCCTAATCAAATCTTAAATCCTAAATCAAATCCTAATCAAATTCTAACCAAATTCTAAATCCTAAATCAAATCCTACATAAATTTCAAATCTTAATCAAATCCTAACTAGATCCTAAATCTTATATTAAACCTAAATCAAATCCTAATCAAACTTTAAATCTTAAATCAAATTCTAACCAAATCTTAAATTCTAAACTAAATCCTAAGGTAGTTTAGAATCTTAATATATTTAATTAAACCATTAATTTTCTTTAAAATTTTATATACCTCTTAATTTCTTAGTTACAACCAAGCACAACAAATTTGAAGTCAATTTCACTTACCAAATGAAAGAAAAATCCTAAAATCTGCTCAGATGTTGGCCGGCCTTCTTTTCCAACCTTGATGATGATCTTCTAGTACTAACATCTTTCTTTTGTACCATTTAATTGATTTCAAAATTCTCATATATTTAAAAAAAAAAAAAAAAAAAAAAAAAAAAAAAAATCTACTACCTATACACATAACTTTCACTCCAATCCAACTAATAGATTGCATAAAATCTTGAAAATCTTCACTAGATCTAAAATTCTACTTTCCAAGATTTTAACCCACTTAAACCTCAATAATCTTCAATTCAACCATTAGATCAAGCTAAAATTTATAACACTTATTTAATATAACTATAAATATTAACCCACAAAATTTCACTTCTAAATCTGCTATAAATCTTTTGAAATTGTCCAAAATGTCAACCCTATTTTATTTCACAAAAACTTGAGTCATCTAAAACATTTTAATTTTTTTAAGTTCTTATAAAGTCATTACAAATCCAAATCACACAAAACTAATGTTTATAAAAATTCTATGAAGTTTTCTATCAAATTCTACTCTTCAATCTCAAAAAGAATCCTAGAATTGCCATAGGTGTATGGTTTTGTGCCTCAAGGTCTAATTTCCACATCGGTTGACAACCGGTCTTCTTTAGGTATCAATTCTTGACTTTTTGAGGTAAATTTTGCTAAAATCTACTGTGAACTTCTTCCTAAATATGCTTATATTATTTAATTTTTTAAATTACTTTATTTTTTATTTATGGGCCTACAAAATAAATAGAAGTCTATTTTATAAAATATAATATTAGTACTTTTTAGTTTTATTACCCTTTTGACTATTACCTATATTTTTAAGATAATTTGCTATAATATTTTAAACTAAGATCTTCTATAATATAATAATCTCTACACTCTTTTAGCTATTAGCTATATTACATCACAATGTGGGAACCTATACAAAACCTTATCTATTACTAAGAGACAATTTGGAGATACCATCGAGAGCAAAATGAGGACATTTTGCATTAGTAGAGGAGATCAATTGTAACATGGTATAGATAAGATATTTGTATTATTGACACATAGGAATAGATAGTTGAAACCATGCTTAAGAAATTATGGAAGTTTTTAGAATTAGAACTAGGTTAATGGACTATGTGGGACCTATCATAGAATATTCTAAAAAGAGCTTAGGACAATTATTTAGGTGGGGTACACCATAGAACCTTCTAGAAGGAATTTAAGGTGGTTATCTAAGTTGGGCCCATTATCTAAGATCATTTTAGAAAATCTAGGGTGGTAGAACAAAGTATAAATAGGACTAACTTGGGCCTTCTAGGCATTTGGTCAAGTATGGCTTTAGACCTTCTCTCTTAATAAAGTTTGATTTTGCATCTTCCTATTCAGTTTTGTTTTTTTCTATTTCCATTTGTATAGTTTTTTCTTTTATATCCTATTTTGTTTAGTTTTGTTTAGTTTTATTTTGATCTATTGTCCTACTTTGTCATGGGGTTTTATGTAGTTGTGGATTAGAAGAGTTTTAGACTCTCAACATAAACTAGTCATATTTCACCTTATCAATTTGTAAACTTTGTAGATTTTTGTAAATTTATCCAACATACAAATATGTCCACTAAAACTTATATAAATTTAAGAACTAGCTAGAAGTAAAACATAATAATTTATTCTGGTAATTTTTTCTAAAGAATAGATCTATCATTTAAATCAATAAGAAAAGAAATATATATAGATTGATTAGTATTTATTCTTTTATATCAAAAGCTATTTCATTTAATCTTTAAAAATATTAGAAGCAATAATTAGGCATCTTTTTTAAAGCTAAAAAATAATAAAATAAGTCTCAACAAAGATAAGTCTCATAGGCATCAATGGCACTTATATGGATTAATAATACAAGCAAAAAAAAAAAACAAAAACAAAAACAAAAACAAAACAAAACAAAATAAAATAAAATAAAGCAAAAAAAAAATAAGAATTGAACTTTATTTTAAGCTTCAAAAGTCCTAGAGGGACAAAAATAGACGTTGTGCAATTTATAGTTGTAGCAATCAAAAAAGCTATTATTGAGAATCTTTAAGTTTCGAATCTCTTGGATCTTAGAGATCTTCAAGATTCTAGTTACTTTGCATTCAATAGATTTCCAATGTTCCTTGCATTTCCTAAGTTTCTTATATTTCTTACTTCATGACCAATCAAAAGTATTTTTTTATCTCTTTATATTATATCTAAACTATATTATAAAGATATATATTCACAAATATACATAATTTATATATATCTTTATTATTATTATTATTATTTAGATAAAATTTTGAAGTTATAATTTAAATTACAACTATTCATAATTAATCAAATATTTAAGAATTTATTTAGCAATGTAATATTACATTCTTAAATCTTCTATGAATGTTATTTTTTTAATTTAATAAGAAATTTACATATATTTTAAAAACAAATTAATATGTTTCTTTTTATATAACATCTTTTAAATATTAGTACTAAAGATATGGTATTTAATTGAATTTATACTATTAAGATAATCAAAATTATAAATAGTACATGCCAATTTTTGTAATTTAAGTAATTTTTTTTATTTTATAGATACAATTAAATGACAAGTTTTAAATCAATATAAAAAGTTAAGACAAACTTCAATGCCTTAAATTGCTTGTTTTATGAATTTTTTAATTTTTTTTTATATTTTATGTTACTTAAAAAAATATGGAGATGTAAATATGTATTTTTTTTTTTTACTTTTAATTTATTATCAGAAGCCATATATTTTTTAAAATAACTATTTTAATGGTTTTTTAATTATTTAAATTTGTTAATTAGTAAAATTAATAAAAATAATATTATTTATAGAATTCTAGTCTTTTTTCCATTAATGTGTTAAAGCTCAAAAGTTTATACTATCATAAATTTGACAAAACTAAATCTTCAGTTAGAGTAAAATTATAAATTTATGCCTAAATTAACTCAAATGCATTAGCTAAAAAAATTAATTTTTTGTGTGAAGATTTTTTTAGAGTATTAAACAATCATTTACTTATAATTAAAAAAAAAAATCTATAATATCTTAATACTTTTTACCTTACCATAGTAAATATAACTTATTAATAACCATGGTTGTCAACTTATTCAATTAATTGCAAATTTTATTTTAAAAACATGTGAAGATAAAACACATGACTTCAAATATTTTAATCAGCAATACTATAGTCTTGAAATGTCTTTGGTGACAAATAGTAAAACTAGCTAATTTAATAAATACTGACTATGAGAAAATACATCGTGCATAAGAACAAAAAAATACTATACAATTTTTGTAGGTATATTAGTAATATTTTTAATATGAACTACACAAAATATTATATTTTTTGAAATTTCAAAAATAAAATAAAAACTATAATATAATATTTAAAATCAAAAGAAATAATTGATTTAAGTCATTATTTTTTGCTAATTTCTTTATTGACTATACATATAATTGAAAGAAGGGAAAGTTATATAAATTTGATGAGCAATATTTTTATTACTAATTTTTTATACTAAGATAATCATGCTTAATTCTAATTTTAATTAACTTTAAAAAAAAGATTTTAATACACAATAATATTTACCATCACACCTACCAATATTTTATTTTATTTTTAATTTTTTTGGGATGACTTCCTGTATTTATTTGTTTTAAATTATTTATTTATTTTTGTTTGTGTATTTTTCTTTTTTGGTTTTTTGCACAACAAGGATAAAACTTGAGCAAGATTTTATCATCCTTGATTGTAATTTTACATCTTGGATTGTCAACCTCTTGGATATTATTTTGTTTACTCATATACAACGTGCCATGCTTTGGTCCTTCTTGGCCTACTTCCATTAAGCTTTGTTAGCATGTGTAATGGCACTTCTAAAGGTTCAAAAAGGAATCGACCACATGCAAACACAAGGAAGTATTTATTGTTCATGTACAAGTTGCAAGTGGCCACTAACAGCCTACTTTGTACAAAGGTTGAAGCTACCAGATTACTTTGAATGGACCCATGTTATGAAGCTTGGTTATTGCAACAATTGACAATGCAATGCAAGTGAAACTGAAGGAAAACCGTCACTTAGTGCAGTGGTAAGTGCTTGCTTGCAGTAAGTGGTCCTGCCAGCTTATTATCCTTCCGTCTCTTGCTTACAGCTTCTGCTTCTTGGTTCACCTGCCACACAATATCCATTCATAGTTACCGTTCAAAACTCTCCCACCATCACCATAGAGCTCGATAAGTATTCTTAAATGACAAACACAACATGTCCGTCGGGTAAAGATGAAAAAAAATAAACAGACCATGTTCCCCAATTCTTCATAAAACTAGCACAATTTGCAACCTGTGAACACCTCCCATGTGATACCCCATATGACAAACCAGTATGTATGAAGTATCCTCTATTGTAAACTTGTGTGTGCATACCTGTTCCAAAATCTCCTCGAGCAAAACAGTTATTTCCGAAAAACCGGGTCGTTCTGTTGGGTCTGCTTTCCAGCAACGTTGGAGTAACTCGTTGAATTTTGGATGGATGTTCTCGGGAATGGTCGGCCTCAAACCCTGCAGAACTCAAACATGTCGACCTCAACCCGCCAGGACTAAGTAATATTTGAGAGTCGCGAGGCAGCGATGCTTCGACAACCATCTACGAAACAATGCATTATGGATCTGATGCACGTTGCAGAATTCAGAACGGTGGTACCTTTTGAACAACGCCAACTGCAGCTTGAAGAGGAGTGAGGTATGTATAAGGAACCTGGACAAGATTACGTGACCAATATTAAGTAAAGAAGTGCTGCAATCCACAAGGACAAATTGGTTGCTTGGATTTCAGAAATTGAAAGACTATTTTAAATGAAAAAATTAACATCACACGTCGTGTTTACAGCTCAATTCCATCACACATGTGAATTCTAATTACACATGTCAACAAGGCAGGCTAAAGTATCATTGGCGCAGAATAATGCAAACAAATGGCTTCTAGTACCTGTCCAGTTATAAGCTCCCATAGTACCACACCAAAGCTGAAAACATCTGCCTTGCAATCGTATGGCTTGTGCTCTATAATCTGCACATTATCATGACCATTTATGAATCACAAACTATCTCACTACATCTGTGCCTCAACGTAATTAAAATTTCTTCCGTCATACGCAAATCTATTGTTCCTAGTCCAAGTTACCACCACAAGCTAAAGGATACCTCAGGAGCCATCCGTCGGTATGTGCCTGTCTCAGCTGTCATGATGCCTGACTGAGCTTGCACTCTCGCCACACCGAAATCGGCCACCTTGACCACCTGACAAAGATTAAAAATACCTGTCAAAGACAATGGTTTATCATAGTGATGGAATATGCAATCACGTTGTGAAAGCAACATGTACAACCATGGATTAATTACAGCTTTGAGACCACGGCAGAAGAATGAAGAGTGGAGCAAAGGTTAAGAGGGTGAGGGAAGCCTATCGGTTGCAGACCTCATTCTCGTCCATGAGCAGATTTGCGGCCTTCAGATCACGATGTATAATTTTATTTTGATGGAGGTAGTCCATTCCCTTAGAGACATCAATGGCCACTCGCAGTAACATTGGCATCTTCAGAACTGACTTTTGCTGATGCAAATAATCAGAAACGCTCCCACCGGACATGTACTCTGTAAAAGGACAACTTAAGTAGTTACTCAAGATCTATAGCATTGAAAAAGACGAACATGTTCCAAATATAAATAGAGTATGAATCAGAAGTGGTCAAAAGCTCAAGGAAATGCGAACACTTCCTACGTGTAGTGTACCTGTGACAATGCATAAATTTGGGGGCTTTGTGCAAGCGCCAATGAACTGCACAATGTTCTTATGTCTTATTTTCCTGCAATAGTTCAAACATCACTTCAGTTCAATCCTTTTATATAAGGAAACAAGATTAGAATTACCCCAAATGTGTTATGCACAAACTCCCGAGGTTTTACCGCAGCACTTTACCGCATAATAAACACTTCGTGTTGAAATTCAACCCTCAGGTTGTCGTTCATTCTCTCTGATTTGAGAACTTTGATGGCCACAGCTTGTCCACAGTAACTACCTTGATATCTGCATGCAACATGACTACTTCCATAAGCTCTGGATTGACACATGAGGGATCAAAGAAAAAGTGAAATAGTGTCAACTAAGAATTTTCTGTTTGCTATCACCTTCGGGGCCAGAACAATAAAAGCTTAGACCGAGTTAACTTCATCCTCTCGGTTCCCCACTTCCTCCCCTTCCACAAGACGTATAGCTGGAGTTACTTACAGATCTCCAGAGGAGCCAGAAGTCACCTTTCGAACGAACTTCAGCTGGCTACTGTCGATTTCCCAATCATCTACGCCACTGGATGACACAACACCTTCTGGAGTCCGTCCAGTGCTGGGAAGTTCACGAAGAGACAGATGCTCAAGGGTTGGTTTTGCTCTAGCCGACGTTACAGTCTGAGCATCAAGAATTATCAACATTGCAATTCAGAAAGTCATAAGTAAAAGACACTCATCACAGTGTGACTACTTTAAATGTCAGGAATTAAACAAATATCATACATTCGCAATGAAACATTATGCCTACATGCCTCTGTGCATATAGCTGGTCAACTCCAGGAATAAACGGATGGAGATTCTAAATCGAAGATCAGGTTCAAAAAAAATTATCTTAGCAATTGTCCAGAAGAAATCACAAGTAAAAGTATTATCACGCTTAAAGTAATTCGGTCCAAGGATTAAACCAACCGAATAATTGAAAACAGCAGCAATATCCAGAAATGCATTCAATCAACCAATGCCAATATAACCCACGTGTTGTGGTCATTGAAGGGTCACTTAGAGAAATCACATCATACCTCTGCACTTGAAGTTAGAGCTGGTAGTAGGGCCCGCTTCAAGTCTTCTATATCCTGATAAACAGAGAGACCCTGTTAATTTCATCTAGAGTAAAAGCTGCTAATCACGTTACTGAATATAACACTCTGTCTGTGACAATAAACCAGGTATACTCTATCAACATGCTTGACGCTAATCCGAGTGGATTAACTTAATTTGAGAATAAATCAGGGCCCAATTGGAATAGGAAACCGGAGGTAAAAGTCAGTAATCTGCAATAAGATATTCCGTTACCCTTGTCGACCAGCCATCCACTATGAAAACATCGAGAGAGAAACCATCTGTGGTTGAGAAGACGTGTGCTTCACGAATGTTGAGTCCAACATCTGCAAGCAGTGCTGACAACTACACCACCAAAGCACAGATCAAGAATTTTGACAAAGCATACTTTATTGATTGTATTCATTCTGATCCATTTCATCATACCCAATTTAGGTTTAATCATAAGTACAGTACCTGACTGAGAAGCTTAGGTCTGTCGACGCATGAGATAGTGACTTCATGAATCGGCACGTTTGCCATACGAGTTGAACTGTCATAATACTAACACTTAATGAGAACAGCGCCTAGTCAACCCATTCTCATAGAACTTGAGTTGAAAAATTAACGAGTAACTACATACACTCTCTCTCTCTCTCTCTCTCTCTCTCTCTCTCCCTCCCCCCCCCAAGACTCCCTGTAACTAAGAATCAGATCGCAAGAGCAAGAGCAAGAGCACAATACCTTCGAGAATGTTGGCTTACATCATGATTGTCTTTAGATTCTTGGACCAATTCCTCCTGGTGAGATAATGGACTAAGAGCAGGGAGTTGTGGTCTGCTAAAGAGACAAGAAGAACAATGATTTAGGACAACAATGTATACTAACTCTGACTCCGTTTAATGATCTTATTTAATTCCACTAGAATGATCTTACGTCGACCCTGAAACAAATATTTCGCAAGTGTTTGGTAAAGAGGAAAGAAATGGAATGCATACTCTAGTTTACAGATGGGAGAGTCGCCAACAGGTTCATCCTGGGGATTTGTTATACTCGAGGGATTGGAACTGACCGTCTGCAAAAGACAAATACCACCATAATATCAGAAAGAAAATTAAACGGTGGCAACTTTGTCAGACATCAATAATTGCCTGAATGGTTCCAATATTATGGAAGTAAAAGAAGCAAAAGAACAAGTTCATTGCACCAAGAAAACGTTTCAGGTGATATTCTTATCACCCAACGTACATGAACTGCACGAACATGGAACGCCGCTCTATTTTCGGAAACCTTAGCATCTTCAAGGAGCCGCTTATGGATGAGAACATCCTCCGCCCTGTCAACGTGCACATATAAAGCATATCTGCAAGCATAATTCACGAAGATTTCAAATCGCCGATATTCATCCACGTACATCACTTCTGATAGTGAAGATTGATACCTTAACCACCATAACCATACTTCCGATCATCAGAAAAATAAATCAAAACAAGGTTGTACAATCAAAACAGTCTACAGGGTTGCATGACTTGGACAAGGTGGTTCATTCTATGTGGCGAGGGATGGTGATTAGCACATGTAAACATGCATTACAGGAACATGCTCACAATCATGTTAATCAGCCAAAATGTTCTCCACGTTCAACAATGATACCAACTGATTGGTATTAACGATACATATATGTACATGTGTTTGGTAGAAAATTCTGAACTATTCTCAATTGAACTTTGGAGCCTCAAAATCTAAGGTTTCAGGTAATTGGTGAGAGAATGAAGTCTTGTTCGCTGACTGCTGAGCAGCAGTTATCATTTGCATTAATTTATAAGAGGTTAAACCATGTCCTTGAAAAAAAACATGTCACTGAGTGATTGTTGCTGCGGCGGTTGCAAATCCGACTCAGAAGCTAGCATATTGCTCAGTGATATGTATGTGCTACAATCTGGATCTATATCAGTATGAGTATCCAATCGTCTTATGGTCAACTCAATGCGAATGTTTCTAGGGAACGCCGGAGCAATAAAATTATAGCATTTCTTCCCAATGGGTTTTCAACATTGCAACGAATACGCAAGTCTAACCCTGGGACTTACCTCGTGGGAAGGCAGTCGAAATGGGATTGTAGCTCATCAGCAAAAGCAGGCATTGTAACAGCATCATGTCTGATGCGCACAAGCTGTCGCAGAATGCCCTCGCCCACTTCTTTCTTCTTCTGCTTGCGTTGAGCGTTCAACGCCATTTTGCTTATTTCACCCACGTAACCTCAAACTAACTCCAGTGTATCGCATTCCAGTGCACATACCTCTCGAGAACTCTGGGGCATGCACTCCGAGTGCAAAACCCAGCATAGCATGTACTGCCCGTTGCAAGCGAGAACACCTGCAGCTTCTGCGCTACGACCAATAAGAGCTACTAAGAGGGCAATCGATGGATTCAAAAGAAAGGAGTGCCATCGGAAAGGATCGCAGCATTAGCACGTCCTCCTCGCCAATCCACCATGGCTACAGCCAAGAGGTGAGATTTTTACTAATTTCCTGCACTACTTCACATTACTTTGCAGCCAATCAAACAACCACCGCTTATCTCTAGAAAACCATCATGAATAAAACAGCTAATTCACGCAGTTTCATGTTTTGATGTTATATCATACTCTACGGAACTTGATAGTCCGAACAGCTGCAGCCAGCAGATGTGGCGACGCTTAATCCCGATGCTCATTCAGGAAGAGATCACGACCGATACCAAAAAAAACATAGTCACACATCCCATCGGAAGTCGGCATATGACGCAACTTATCTACTCCGAGGATCGTGCATCTGCCGGAGAGCTGTTTGCCCAGGCGTTTTGCGCATTCTCGAGCAGTCCACGACAAAGCTATCCCCGGTGATTTGTTCATGTGTAGAATACGACACTAGGCTGCAGTTGTCTATTTGTACTCACCAAGCTCCATCAATGTCGCCATTGTCCTGTTTGTCCTCCTTCCCTCCTTGTCCTCGTCGGTCCTGCAACCGTTACGATTGCATGCTTGACAGAGTATTCTCCGTATAAACCTAAATTTTGTGTCGAATAGAAGGAGATTGCATTTCCCGACACGAGGGAGGAGGGCCCAGACCCTTACCCCAATCAGAAACACAATTTCTGCGGAGCAGCTCGTCATGCCAAGTCAGTGGGGATCAATAGGATAATGCTCCAAAAAACGTGGCTCGGAGACGGAATCCTGGTATCAACAATGATGACACTCCTTTTTTTTTCTCTTTGCACGGAGTTTTCCGACAGACTAACTGCGACGGATTTCAGCGGCTTATCCGATTTCCCACTTTAAATATACTCTTTGCCCTTTGGGTGGTCAAAGGGACACCATAAAAAAGCACTTGCCAGCCAGAAAACCCAATTGCTACCAAGAGTCTCATGCAGTAAAAGCAAGGAAATCGACCTGGAAACTTGTGGAAGTCAAACCGCTTGCCTATTTCTGGGACCGCCCATGAAACAGGCTCGTCGACTGAGTTCGTAGGATGAGCACATTCCGCATGCACCTCTGAAATTCTGTGCTTAGCAATGAATGTGGAGAATGGGTAGATCATGTGAAATCAGCCGAGCTATATATCCACATGGGTAATCGCGCAAACTCCTTATTCAAATCGATTGTTTCCGCATAAATTCGAAGTCCGAAACTGAACTCATGTAGAACTCTGGCACATGCAATCGCATGAAAGCAACTGGTCGACACCACAGCTTGGGATTTAGCCTAGTTTAAGCGACTCTGCAAGCTTTTTAGGGGATCACTGACAGAGTGAGGCCACGCAATAGAGCCGCGCTTCAATTCTTCTTGCTGCCATATTCGACAGGATCACGGCAGCGTTGGTGCAGGAGTTTCCTAGCTGATGGCAGCTGCTCTTCAAAGCAGCCCTGCAAGCCTGACATTTCTAATCTACTGCAGAACTTAGTTACAGATTCATCTGCTTTGTTCATTTCCGGCATCTTGCTGTGCACTACTTAGTACGCGCGTAGTTGCAGGCATTCCGGGTGCAGCAACTGACGCGGAAGACTTTTCCCAGAGTGTGCGCTTCAACTGGCGTGCTGAGTAGTGCACAGCAATATGCTGGGCATGGACAGCTACCACCGCTGAGTTCGCTGTATAGAACGTTTGCTTTGGTTTGATTGCCTTCCGTCAAACCACTCGCATTGTGGAGCAGTTGGAGCAATAATTTGTGCCGCGGCGTCTTCACAACAGTGGCAATAGTGGTTTGTGTGAAGCAGTTTCTGCATTGGTGTACAAGTAATTCTACTTTATCTTGCTGATGAATTTGTTATTGAAGTTGAACTGTGGCTGGTTCTTTGGCCGTTGACAACCGTCAGTAACATCTCAATTATCATAGGCATCTTGCGGGACATGCTACGAGAATATTCAATTTTGTGCTACGGTACAGTTAGAACCGCAGCTTGGTGAATCTGATCTACCAGCTGTATGACAAACAGATGCCGGCTCCTTTTCTAGTCCCAGAAACCAGGCTACGCTTCTCAGCATACCCTGAAGAACGTTGAGGAATAGTATGGAGGGTCTCGGCTGATCTTATCCTAATTCTTATTGGTATAACATGTGTACAGCAATTACGAGTTGCGTTCATGGTTTGAATAGTCAATATTGTTCGAGGAACTCGTCTTCACCAGCGTGACACACAGGTTGAGTTAGATGAGGGATTTTGAGACGTTATGCAAACAGAGGTCAAAGTTGTATTGATCTTTAATAACTCTATGATTATGCAGTTCCAATAACGTCACACTCCCGAGAAGCCCTCAAAGTTGCCACTGCGGAGCTTTCATCAGATTTGTGGAACTTTGGAGTCTTCTTGCACGTAACTTCTCTCGTTTCAGCTTTTGCGCTTCCTTCTGCTCTTTCTGCAGAGTATCCCGAATCACTTCAAGCAATTCTTTCATTCCCTCTCCTACCCTGCAATTGTAGCAGATGGCAAGATATTGAAATTAGATATTGTCCAACTCAAAACTACGACAAATACAACTATATAGGTTTCACTAAAAACGTCTAATCCTTTGGTAGAAGACCAACCACCTAGCAGCCGAGACCGTAAGACTGCACGAGGTCTGAATGACCATCAATAAAATTCTCTAAAATCGCACTGCAGAACGCTAAAAACTCACCAGATTACTGCTTCATTTACAAGCGTGAGGGCAAGAGCAGTACGTTTCAGAGTAGACCATGTCGACTTTAGAGCACTGGGGGGAACATACCTTGCACTAATGCCAACAACAGCCTCAGGGCGACGAAAGTCTTGGACTTTCCGTGCTGTTTCTTCCTTTAAATTTGACTTGCGTTGGTCTGCCTTCGATACACCTTGTGAGCTACTATCTCGTTCTACGTCATCTAATCTGGCCAAACGAGAACCGTTGGAGTCAGCGTTGCCCGTCTCCTCATCGGCAACTTCAGGATCGACACCCATATTCTGAATTACCTCCCTCAGGCTTTCGAATTTTTCCCTTGCCTAATGTTGGTTTCAGGAGAACTTCAAGTTAGAAAAGGACTTTGAAATTCAACAGTTGCATGGCGGCTGGTATGAGCCATGAATTAAGGTGCATGATCTCATTATCTTATAGTTGGGTCACATGGAACAAGGTTAGAGAGAGGACTAGTTACCTCTGGTAGATCAAGCTTGTTAAGAACAACAATATGAGGTCGCCTAACATACTCTGGGTTGTAGAGATGAAGCTCCTGTATGGCACCAGGATAGAGACATTAGTCATAACTTTATCACATTGCGCTTTTCCAAAGTAGTCCATTACTTTAGCTGAACATGCAATTCTGAACTATGGGTAAGATTCAACAGAAATTAGTACCACCTGTCCATCATTCCATTTCCAAAATCAGCCTAAGACAAAGAATAGTGTATTTCGAGTATTCATTATTTGATAATGAATTCAAGTTACTAAAATTGCAAAGAATGACAAGCTAAAATGATATGAAAATGTTACCACTTTTCAGAGCAAAGAATGAAGGTTCACCTCACGTAAAACGGTGTAATCTTCCACTGGATCTGGACTGGACGCATCTACAACATGAACAAGTACTCTGGTTCTTCGCAAATGTCGTAAAAACATCCTTCCTAGTCCCTGTGCCCAAGAACAACAATTCAATCAGGGTAATATTGACAACGCAAATAGCCGGAAAACTTAGAAGTGGCTGCCATAAATGTGCTCATGAACACCAATTAGATCACTAGCATGTCAGATGAACCCTAATCGCATGATGAATTCCTAAGATGGCTTCAATCGCAGGAGCTCCTCCGCCCACTCTTTGCTCCCCTCTGATGCTGGATATAATTCCCTTCTGACTGTGAGACTCCCCACCAGATGAGACAGGCTCAACCTTATACAAGAGCGATGTGCAAGACCGTATGAGGATCGTAAATAACCTTCCCAAGATGAGCATCCTTGATGAGTCCAGGGAGATCTGCCATTGTCGCCCCGCTTGAGAAACCCCCGTCATTCTTCAAAGGATCACCCTCCAAGCACCCCAAGTTAGGCATAAGTGTTGTAAAGGGATACGCAGCAATCTCTGGTTTTGCTACCGTCACTGCTGCCAGTAGTGATGATTTCCCAGCATTCGGTAGTCCCTGTAGTCCACAGCAATGGTCAGGCATTCTCCTACAAACGGAATAAAAGACCTTCAACTCTAAGTATAATCAGCATGAACCGTGCCACTTGACTAAAAATAAACCAAAAGCCATGAAGGAGAAGCCATACCACTAGTCCAATATCTGCCACAACCCGTAGCGTCAACTCAAGTGCAATTTCCTCACCGGGAGCGCCAAGGGTCAGAACCTGCGGCACAAAGGAATTATGGCTCCAACAGAATTCACGAACAGGTAACGTGTGGAAAAGCGTAAATTAAGTAGAAAAAGGACACAGACAAGAGAGCTCATCCCTCAAACCCCGTGCAACCTAGGCTGCTCATAAGTCCTAAAATACAAAGAAAAAAATCAACTGAAATGAAACGCGAAACCATCAAAGATGTGGAACTTCAGAGAGCAGAAAAATACTTTGTCGTCAGGATCTTGTATAGTTGGTAGGCCGCTGTCTCTAAGACGCTTATTATTTGCGGCTTCAACAACACTTATCTGCAACCACCGTCCATACCAAGCAGTTGTATTATCAATTTGGCGACCGCCATCATTCAATGACCTTAAGAATAGAAAGCCCAGGTAATCAGTGCTCTTTTTCCTTCACTATCCACTTCGAGAATGCAAGCGCTAAAACGATAGCAACTCTAGCCATGGAGCACTACGTTTTCAGCATGAACCTGGATAGTGGCATCACTGCTACTCTTTGAACGTTGAGCTACAGCAGAAAGAGGAATACCCCTCCACGACCACCACGAGCAACCATAATTTCATCCCCTGGTTTCGCAAGGTCAGCCAAAAACTTTCCTCCCCTCTTCCTTTTAACTACCGTGCCTGCATCGCGACAAGACAGCGAACGGGAACAGATAAGATGGCAAGTTCTTCCTCATGACTCTGCTGCTACCTGACTGCAATAACGACTGAGAATCTCATTGGGTGAAAAATCATCTTCAATCACTTCAAAGTGTTGTATAACATACTCATATTTTGAAGTAGCAATTGTGATGACAAAGAAAACCTCACCCACAGGAACAGGGATGCGAAGAACGGGAGCATCCAATCCATCCCGAAGTGAGGGAGACAGCGTCCCCATAGCACTAACGTTTGACCCACGTTTTGCATTATGGCGTTTCTTCCGATGGAGTGGCAAGAGAGTGTCAGCACTTTCGTCCGCAACGAGAATTACATCGCCACCATGGCCTCCCAAGGGCAATATCAAAGATCCATCAGGCCCTCTCTTGTATGTCCCGGGAATTTTCTTTTCCTTCTTGAATTTTTTATCTCCATCGTCTACTTTCGGTTTTGGGAACTTCAGGGTAGCCCCGTTGCCTCCATCGCCCGAGCGCACTGTGATGACCACCTGATCGAAATACTTGTGAGGCTCAGTGTCAAGGTTCTTCGGTCCTTCTGACGCATTCGCGTTCTCTTTCAGAAGCGAGCAATTAATAGGATTTGTGCGCGTTGTGCTTGTCACGGCTAATCTCTGGTCACCTAGCCACCAAGAAAACACATCACGAGATTCTGCCAAAATCAGTCAGGAGACGGTAGTAGAAAGATATGAACGAAATTGTCGTCATGTTCTTTCCAATTCAGGTACCATGAAATTAGTACAAAATGTTGGATGAAGTCAACTACCCTGCCAGAATCTTTGTTTCGGAAATATGGTGAAGGCGAGATGATGAGCACAATGCTTGGAATGAAATGGCAGCTTGCTCACACATCCACGTGCCGACACGACGGCGCTCCCACACGACGTACTCGCCATGGCCTGCATGTCGCCCTAAACTGGAGCGAGGAGGGAACTAAAGCATGAAAGAAAGCAGCAATCTCGTCCCTTCTGCCCTCACCGCGAGCTATCACCAGAGCGTCACACTCCAATCCACAGGCACGGGCAGCTCTCTCCCACCCAAACCACGCCAAAACTTCAAAACTCACACAAAACGCTTCCCAAGTACTCCAAAATTTTATCCCAAGCTGCAAAATCCCAAGACGCTGCAGCGCTCACAACACCGCCCCTGAAATTCAAACTAATTGAATTCCCTCAAGTCACCAACACACTCGCCACTCAACTGGGACCCCAGATTCTTTACCTACCAAAGTATAACCACGCATTGCGCCCAAGACAACAGTACCCACATTCGCTCACAGAAACACTATCCTCCTCACCCGCGAGATATAACCCCCCCCCCCCCCCTAAACCTCGCTACACAAACAACCCAGCTTCTGCTTGTGTGGCTTCTTCCTCGTCGTCTTCGTCTTGTGCACAAACGTAATCCAAACTCACACTCTCACTCTCACACTCGCAGAAGGCGACCCAATTCCGGAACGTGGGAATGGCGAGCGCGGCCTCGCTCTCTTCGCTCGCAGCGTAGTAGTAGTAGAAGCGGTAGCATTATCCTCATGGCGAGCCCCCGCTCGCTCTCGCTCTCTCTCTCTCGTCACACACGCCAGCAACTCTCCATCAGCTTGAATTTAGGGTTTCTCTTTTAAGCGAAATTGTGAGGCTTTCTGACAAGTTAACCACTAAAAAGGCACCCACAAATTTTGTTTTTATTTTAAATCTTGATTATTTATTTCGTGATAATATTTATTTACTTATCTATTTATTTCTAACATCAATGTTTTATTTAATGTTATGGTGTAATAAAAATGTAAATATGTATATATACATTTAAAAGAAAAAAAAAAACTGATTGCGAATTTATTTGTTTGTGCAAGTAGTAATGTACTTGGATTATAACCCTCACATGTGGTTTAAATTTTCATGTGAAACAGGTCAATGTTTTGTTTTGTTATGTCACAATATGATATTCATGACTTTAATCTGTCCATGCAAAAAATAATATTTTAATATGGAAATGATGATGTTAATGTTATGTTTTGTATCACAATAATATTATGTGACAAACAAATGAATAATAATCTGTTAACAGAAAATAATTTTCAGATAGTATAGTTTCTGAAATTAGGCAGTAGTTTGTAAATACTATTTTTTCTAATAGCTTTTTATTTACTAATGTTATGAAGTATATTACAATTTTTTTTTAAATACTTACTGTATTGGTGCATAGTTTCAAATGTAAAAGAATAATTTTTCATATCACTTGCTGTCAAATTGTACTGAATACTTAAATCAATGCAATTAAATAAACTACTTAAGGTACGCTTTGATAAAAAAATATGTTGCAACTGATGGTTGTAAATGTCAATGTTGTTCAAGACCTAGTAATAACCAATGGACCTGCAACAAAACTCAGCCATGATTTCAAACACAAAATAAAAAAATCTCAAGTCATTCAAATAATTTTTTTAAAAAAAGTTATTTTAGCAAACATCACTATCCATAATACATTTTTTCCAAATTAAAAAGTATCGACAAAAATAATCAAATACATATTGGATGACATGGGTAGTATTTACAGAAAGGGAAAATAATATTTCTTTCTTTACTTATTAATAATAGGTATTAATCATCCTCTATTATTATTATTCTTATTATTTTTTCCCAAATTGGTTAATTCCATTGAACCTACTCAACTAAATAATAAGAAGGGAGTTGTGGTAGGTACTGATCTTATTATTATCCTTTACGGAACAAAATCCTGTTCTCGGTGTTCCCATCAAAGGTGTTCCCTTGCAGATTCCAAAGGAGGATGTTCCTTTGCAGATCCAAAAGGAGGTTCCCTTTGCGTTCTCAGGGTAACGCGGAGCGGGAAGCGTCGGTAGCAGGGACTTGGAAGCACCGTGGGCCACAACAGAGGAGAAGCTTTCTTCTTGCATTCCGATCGCTTGACCTGCACGTCTTAGACCAGTTTCCTGCGCACGCTACGGATCTCTCGTACATCTGCATGCTGCTCATCGTCGAAACGGAAAGAGGGTAATCTTCACGACGTTTTTCGGCGCATTTTTGGAGGTTTTTTCGCTTAGTTTTTGGTGGGTTTGAAGGAGAGTGAGTTGTTGTGGTGCCGCTTGCAAGGTGTTTCTCTTTGGACAGATACTTGTGTTGTTTTAAGGATTGAAATCCGAAGAAGTGCTTGTTGTGAAGCATCAGCGCGCATTAGACGAAGTTTGCGCTAGTCAGATCTTGGGAGGTTGCGGTGTGGTGGAGCTAGGGTTTGTGGAGCTACAGCTTGGACATGGCGCCTGCAAGCCAGCCTCCGATGATCCCTGTTACTCAACAAGATGTGGGTGCGACGCCACGGTCGGGTGCTTTCTGGGTGCTGTATGGAAAGGCCCAGGATGCATTTAATCTGGCTTTTGCCCAGAAGCGGCCATGGGCGGAATTGGTTGATCGGACGCAGTTGGCGAAGCCGGAGTCGTTCAGCGATGCTCTCACTCGGGCACGTAAAAATTGGATCCACTTCCGCATCAACTATTCGCTTGTGTTGGTCGGCATCGTTGCGTTGAGCTTGGTTTTCAACCCAGTGTCGCTTTTCTTCCTTGCCGCTCTGTTGGCTGCGTGGACGTACCTCTACCTCGTCCGCTCTGAGCCACTAGTTGCGTTCGGCCGAACGTTCAGCGAAAGGGAGGTTCTTCTTGGCATGAGTCTGTTCACCGTAGCTTTGGTCTTCATGACCAATGTCGGTTCTACTCTCATTTCAGCTCTCGCGATTGGTGCCGCTATTTGTTTTCTTCATGGTGCGTTTCGCGTCCCTGATGACCTTTTCCTTGACGAGCAAGAAACTACTGGAGGATTCTTGTCTTTTCTATCATCGGGAACTGGAGCTCCGCAAGGAACGTCACATGTATAGATTTTCGCACTCAATGCATCAAGGTATAAATATTCTTTTTTAGCGAATCATTTTTCTTCTTCGTCAAGCCTCCTTAATCGTTCAGACTTTCTTATTCTTTCGTAGTTAATCCAGAGAAAACCGGTCCAGGGGTTTCAGCATATGATGCATAATAGACGCTAGGATATTCTTCATCGGTGTGAAGATTACTTCACAGCATGATTAGTAAACCCTACATACCATTGATCATGGTTTTATCTAGTCTAGATGAGGATTTATTGGCACATGCTCCTTGCAACTTATTGAATTGCTGATTTGGGAGAAGAAACTTGACCCTTGTGTAGATTTAGAGCAGATAGGATGTGCTTTCTAACAAGTTGGAAGAGTTTCCGGTTAGTAAAGCGTTCATTGAGGTTTATCCGCTTGAGATTTTATTATATTGATATACGGTCTTGAATTACATTCCGTGCTTGACAATGGCCATATGGACAGAAATTTTTATGGTTCAGGAAAGAGTCCACAATCCCTCAGGATATACGAATTGCTCTGCCTTCTCACGTACTTTACGTGTCAATTATTGTGCATGTTCACCTGATTGGTATATTCGTGGCACAAATGCAACGGGGCTCTGTTTGTTTGCAACAGCAGAATTGGAGTAGTATGTACCCATCACAATTCGGAGGAAGAGTTAATGCTCCAGCCATAATTTGTTTGTACATCGGTTATGTCTTCTGTCACCTAAATCTTAGTAATCAGGGAAATTCAGTGAAATTTCTCCCTCGTTCGATAGTGGCCAGATGACAGTGTACCCTGCATTTTAGGTAAAGCTACGTTAAATTTATGGGTCATTGTTGAGATCAGTGCAACGTTGATAGCAACTAGATTTAGCGTGCGTTAGTTGCTACCAGCGCACGCTGCACCACGTTGGAGTACAGTTTTTGATCCAACCACGTGAGTTTCGTTTTGCACAACTTGGCGGTTAGGGAGTTCTCACGTCCATAGGCTACTTTTTAGTGTAGAAAAATAGTGAATCGACGTGTAAAGTGGTTGTGGAAGTTTTGTTGTTGAGGTATTTACACATTAGGGCTCCATTGCGTAGCAAATATCAATTTACGAATTACCGTTTTGCTGGTAGTGCCTGGTACAAATGTCGAGTGTGCTATGGAACTGATGAAATCGACAGTGGATGTGCTCTATATCTGACAGTGGAGACGTGCAATAAACGACGTCGAATTCTTCGAAGTTGAAACCGGACAAGCTTCTGTTCTTGACATGCTGTCTATCACTGGCGCTAATGATTAAATGTATCATATCACATGCAAATATAAATTGTCAGAATCATATGTACATTAATGCTGTCTCGGTGTACCTTTGAAAGGGCCCACCAAGTCAGTTGCTTCCCGAAGTGCACCAAGCAACAAAGGAAGGCACTGCTCTATGCCAGTAACTGACAAACTTGCTCCCCCTGACATCGAGCGTCTGCAATCCCACATTTCATGATATTGTTGTACCCTCTCAAGATACTTGGTCACGATCTGTTTGCAAATAACAGCAACCGATAGTTAGCATAGATCACGTCATGTATATCAACCAGCAAGCATGCAGGCGTGGGGGATTTCCTCTTCACCTAGTAAGGAAAGCTATCGGAGTGTAAATCAGACTCAGAGCATTAGTTAAATCTACCTTTCTAGCATAACCACCGTAGGCCACTCCTGCGATGGTTGCATCATCGTCATGTGGGGTCTGAAAGAGCCCTTCTCTTTTCAGAGACTTGACAGTGTGGGCATTTGTTCCACCTGCCAGCTGAAGATAACCTGACGATAAACAATGATCCAGCTTTTCATCAGATGAATGCAGTCCCAAACACACAGCCAAATTGATTAATTTGGCATCTGATGAGACGTGTGCGTGGTCGTTCGGAGTATATTGAGTACCTGGAGGGCGATCTTTTGAGGCTGCTACATTTGCAGCAAGAGAAACTGCTGCCCTAGTTGCACCCGCGCCTATGTCGCCACTCATAGGCCGACCATCCAACTGGATCACAGCGAATATATAGTTACAATGGAGGTGTTACCGGCTCATAAATCTGTGATGCTCAACGCTGGGGGTGACATTCTAAGACATGTAACATCGTAGACAAGTGGACTACCTGCCAAAGATTTAGACCTTTGAGGACAGGTCGCAAGCTTTGATACATGGTTGCTAATGCTGGAACCATAGAGTCGCCTAAATCTGGCACACTCACCTGCACGCATATTCATATTTTGAAATCAATCATGTTTTGGATACCGAAAATTAATTTGAAATCTAGAATATTCATCCCAAAACAATCTAATGATTGTGAAAGCCAAACATTTTGAGATCAGATCTAAGACAGGTAATGAACAATGCATACAACACTCATGGAGAGCATCTTGTGCTTACAGCAATAAGTTTGAGAGATAGTAATGCGTCGGAGAGCTCTCCCACCAATCTATGAAAGGATTCCAAATGTCTGCAAAACACCTAGTATTAACGTTGTGAACAATCACATACATTACGCACACTAAAACAAAAGGGCAAGAGCCCTATGTTGCAAAAGAAACCAACAGATCTGAGAAGCACAAATCATGGTCAAGCAGAGAAATGCATACCCTGCACCCGTGTGTATTTCAATTGCGTCGATGTCGCTGCTTCTTAAAAGATTGGCAACAGCTTCCAACTCCCTCACATATGTCCTGGTATCTTTTTAGTGTTGCAAGTTGAGATTAAAACAAGATGAAATAATGAAGTATCCGTTAGAATGCTACCAAAGTGCTCAGTACAAAAATCAAGCTTAGGACCATAATAAGGAAATGTTTCGCTAGAGGTAAAAGGCAAGGTACTCACAAATAAGGTTCAACGGGCATACGGAAAGGCAGCGTCCACATCCGTAACAGCGCTCTGTAATAACACCGTCCTGTAGAAATGAATGGTGAAGAAATGAACACTTCATGTGCAGTAGTCTAAAACTCGAAGACCAGGATCATGGTGAGAAATGTATCAATCAATTCCCACAAAAAGATTCATAGGCACCTACCGATCGAAAGCCAGAATGTTGCATTACATGTCCTGTTTCTGGTAAAAAGCTTGATTGACATCGTTCCTCAACTGCAGATGCTTTAAATGCAATGGCAGCAGCAGGGCATACACGCTCGCATGGACGCGGACAATCCGTTGGACACAGCCCTGGATCAAATTCTGCAAGCCATGCAACAGTTTAGCATTAAAATAACCACAGCCTTTTTTCGCAAAATGTATACTACTTCCAACTCGAGAAAATTCAGCAAGGTTCATACCCTAGTTGAAGTGATTAAATTCACCACTACAAACAGGACGGAAAGTACTTTGGCGAGGAGTAGAATGTGAAATAACTCACCCGCTTTTCTGAAATGCGGGTCTTCATCGTCATTTATGCTGACCATTATCCAAGGTCTTCGTATGATGGGAATCTCAGAAGCAATGAGGTGGCGAGCAAGATGTTGAGCAGCCGTAACTCCCTCCAAAACAGCAGCAACAACAGCAGAATCGGCCGCACAGTCGATGCAGTCAACTACACATGCAATCATTTGCTAAGAAAACAAACCAACTTCTACTTCGAACGACAGAACTTTAGGATTCTGGAGGTTAGCCGCTCGGACTCTACAAAGATTAAGCCGCGAAGCTGGAATTGAAAGCCATAGTAAAAAATTTAATCCTCAGGGTTTAAGTTGATTTTCATGCTCAGCAAAAGGAGATTGAGTTACGAGTCGAGAGGAAAGGTAGAATGGAAAACTTGTGAAAACAGTCCTGTCTAGAACGATGAAAGACCTACCCCCAGCCAACGTATATACAAGTGAAAGATTGCGTATGTCCACCACATCCTGCACAGAATGCCGAGAATTTTCATCTGAATCTTTCCTTCCGGAATACAAATTGTGTATGTTTCAACATTTCTGGGAAAATCTTCAGATACTTACGAAAACGTATTCCATTTCAGAAACTAATGATACCATCGCAATCAAGCTTGATAAGTAGAATACCAAGGTCACTAACCTCGAAGCTTGCTCCACAGATAAGCTTCACCCATCGTCCTTCCCGTAGCGATACTTCAGGAGACCTTGAACCATTGGACATAGCCGATTGGCGCACGAGGTCTGACAGAGCTTCCCTTATGAATTCACTGCTCGGTTCAACTGCAAGAAGGAATCGTAATATAATTATCAAAATCTATCAATTTTGAGAACATAATCTTTGCTATTTAGCGCTCTATATTCCACCGGGATTGCACCAAATGTAAGGTGAGACTCTTGCTGTTCCGCAGTTTCCTTTTGGGCATGCAGGACTTGGAATTGAAGGGATGTCATCATAGGGAGCGAGATTGCGAGGAAATCGTAGACAACCTGAATCACGTTCGATGACTTCTCGGACACCTCCAATCGAACTCCGCACGACATTTTGATGGGACTCTATCCTCAAAGGTCGAATTCCACCCACTGCAAACCTCCGCAACTTGCAAAATCCATCATCACAGAACCGTGAGCTCTGCAATTGCGCTACCAGAGCAGAATTAATGGGAGAAAGGCCCGTGCCGCATCTGAGAACCATGGTCATCCTCACATCCACTCCTCCACATATTTCCATGCTCAATGTTCTAATTTCTCTACTACCCAAAACTGCTTCAGAGAGACGAGGCATTGACTGTTGCTTGTCTTCTAGTTAGATCCTTAGATTCTTCCAGCGGTGCTTTGTGAACTTTGGGAACTTTACAAGAGCGATGAGAGTTATGGGTCCGGGGAACTTCTAAATGTCTCCCCAGGCTTTTTCAGCACGTCTCATTTGAATGTGACTCAATTCTTGAATACGAAGAATCTTTTGGGTTCAAAGCTAGTTTGAAGTTTTTACAATTTAAAGTCAATCTCATTGACGAGAGCTTCTTGGCCTTTTGTGCTTCGGGGTTTGTGCAGCAATGCGAGGGATTCATCTCTTGAATATTTGGAGTTAATTTGGGTGAAGGAAAGTTTTACTAGGTTTTCAATTCTCCAGAATGTCTATCTCATGTGGTAGTAAGAACATGAGCCTTGCTGTAATCTGTTTACTTGTCACGAATGCAGTGCTGAAAATTACAGATTCAATTTTATCTCGCGCTCGCAAAAACACAGCACTTCCTGTGTGACGAGAATGCTGATGCTTACTAATAACCAATTGATGAATCGTTTGATATTGAACCCAGAAACGCTTTTTTGTGATGGTCGAACCTTGAAGCGTAATACTCGAGGCAAACACGCACCATTGGTGGACATCTGTGGATGTTTATATTCATCCTTAAACAGTATTATGGACACTTACAGCGGAAAAACACTCGTTCACCCAGCATCACTTGATGTATGGAGGGAATTACAGGAACAAACCTAAGGCAAGATTCGGCACCATGATCAATGCAGAGTTATGGGCACATTTGAGAATGGCAAGTGCGCTCTTCAAATGCCATGCAAGCTGCTCCCTCGTCATTTGCTACTCCACCAGATACCAAGGGCTTTCCTCAATTATTTCTATGGAATTCAGGTGATTTCAGTAGAAAACTGTGAACTCTTTCTTTCGAATTGTGCACATTCCCCTGAGATTTTTTTCGAGAAGTTGAGACACTAGAATATAACGGCATATCATCGTTTTTTTGTGACAGACTGGTGAGGAGTGGGCCACTTATGGAAACTTGTTGGTTGGAAGGACGTCTGTTCAGTACCAGATTTTGAGTGCTAAAAGTAGAGAATCAGTACAAATTTTGCAGAGTAAGGGTACTTCCAACCTCAAGGTTACAGGAACAATTCATGACATGATCCTGATCGAGTGCCATCCGGATAAGTATGTCACACTGTATAACGGTTTTTCTGCACGACGTCTGTAAAATGTATGAACTACTTGCAACGTCAGCACTCTATCTATGTTCAAACCACGCCCTGTTGTGGGTCATTAAGCTCCACTTTGAATGAATGAAGACACTGCCAGGAATCTCTGTCTTAGTCTGTAGAGTGTGCAGCAGCTTCTTTTAGAGGGCATATTGGAACTAGAGCATTGTTGAGATGGGTTAAGAATGCAGCTGTGTGCCCATGAGAGGATAACCTTGTGTGACAATGATAATGATTCATGTTGGCCTGTGATGGTGTGGATTAGGTTGTGGAAGACTTGTAAAACATTCCAGTTTGGTTTCTAAGACACACGACACTAAGATACTCTTGCTTCACAAGGTAATTTACAAGCTACTTGAGGTGGTTGCCATGTTTTCAGATGAATGCCATGAGGACTGGAGTAGCTTTTGGTGGCTCTCATGGACTCTGGTGACAAGCAAGAAGCATGAAACCTCTACTTTGCATGAAGCTCTTGTGTAGCCAACCAACAGGTCACTCAAATTCTGGTGAGAAAATATTCATGCCACTTGTTGAAATTTCGTGACCTAATGTTTAAATAGGAGTTTTTAACTTTTTGGTTTAATATAATTTAAGTTTTCACAATGTGGGCATAAAACAAGGGAATTGTTAAAATTGACCCAAGCATTTATTAAATCGACCCACCCATCCTAACCATCTTCAAAAAATTCTTCTCTACTAGATCTACATTGATAATAATAATAATAATAATAAAAACCATTGAAAAGTTGTTGGATCCTCAACCAATAATGATGGGTGGATTGATTTAGTAAATGTTTGGATCAATTTAACAATTTTCTAAAACAAGAATGATGTCATTTAGTGAACTTCTAAAAAAAAAACTAATAAGGATCAATAAGAAGATAATTGTTGAAATGACAAGTGATACCTTTTGTAAAAGTAGATTTGATTTTTAACATGAACTTGTATCTTTAATTATTAACTTTGTAGTAAAGACAAGATTAGAAAATTATTTGTGAAACTTTATGTACCTCCACTACTATTATCTATAAATAATGCTTTATTATCTTTTTTCTTTATTATATATTTTTTAAAGAATCTATTTTGTCATTCAATTACTCATATATAATTTCTTTATATATATATATATATATATATATATATGTCTACCACCATTTTCTTTTCTACCTTTCTAATAAGAACTAGTAAAAATATATATATATATATATATATATATATATATTTAAACTCCTATTAATATTTATAAAATCTTATATAGATAAAATAATAAAATAATAATATTGATGTAAGATTATTGTAAAGGTAGACTTTGAATTGGCTTGTGAACTTTTATTATACAAGATATTCTAATCAATTTTGGATAAAATAAATAAAAAATATATGTAAGATTATTTTTTATTTTTAATTTTTTATATCAAGATTTTAAAAGAGTGATGCTTTAATTTATTTTTTTAAAATATATAATTTTATACAAAAAAGAAGAAGATTGGTGGCAAGAGTTAATTTCACATTGTAATACTCTTACTTAGCTAATCAAAGTTATTTTACTTTTAAATCTTTCATCATATCTTAAATTTCAAAATACCTAAAATTATATATATATATATATATATATATGTATTTATCTAAAATATTTATTTTCGTATATCTGAAATTTATATTCAATATAAAATATAACAAAACAATGCACATAATGATTTTTGGTTCATAAGTCGTATGTAATTATTTTAATTACAAGGATAAATATTTAACAATCATGATTTTAAAAAATAAAATAAAATTTATATTTATATAATAAAAAAATCTTGTAGTTTTACATTTATATTATCAGCTTTCAATAATATATTTTTTAAAATAAAAAATTATCAATTAACACAACATAGTAATTGTAAAAAAATTAGATATATATACATTTAAATAATAGATTGAAAGTATTTATCTTTTAAATATTTTACTAATAAAATTTTACTTATTAAAGTATTTGTAAATAAAAATAATATTTGATACTATTTAATATTATAAAATATCTAATCAATATTTTTAATTTAGATTTATTTTAATTAAAAAATAATTATTGTGATGTAAATTAGATATCTTGTAGTTTTAAATTTCTCTTTGAATTAACTAAAAATAAATAAAATAAATAAAAAATATCTTCTACTTTAAAAATATCAAGACTTTATTGATTAGAACAAAGACATTTATATAAGCTAGAAAAAAGAGATGTTTATTGTTTCTTCTTACACCATATCCTAATTCAAGCAGAGGTTTTTAAAAAAACTCCAAAGAGATATCAGAAATATAAAGATATATTTAAGGATAAAATTATAAAAATATTATAAAAATATGAATTTTATTATAATAAAATTGACCTTTGAGAAAGTGCTCAACCTCTATTTACATCAATATACAACTTATTCCAAAATCCATTAACCTCTCCTAAAGAATATATTTGCAAAAATCTTACAATTTATTTTTGATGTGATATTTAAGTTTGTATAAGTGTATCAATCTTTTTTAAGAAGATGAAAGATGGATCTTTAGAAATGTATATGGGTTATTAAGGATTCAAAAACAATTAGTATTAAAAATAGTTATATTTTTCTTTTGCAATTAAAGCTTCTCAATAAACTAACTAAACTAAAATCTATATTAAAACAACTATACAAAGAGCCTACAATTTAATACGAGTTAACAAAAAATATGAATAAAAAATTCTATTTTAAACTAGATATATCCATTTTGAATATGAATTTGTATCTTTTTTACTTTTAAATGCTCTACTTGCTTTTTTTTTATTTAATTAGTGATTTATTTTTATCTTAAAATAATTCTATCTTATAATTTTAAAATAAAATTCTTATTTATTTTGATTATATAAAAAATTATGAATATTATATTTTTCTTATATTACAAAGATATAAAGTTCTAAGGCTTCATACCAAGATAGAAAATTTGCATATTAATCAATTTAAGTAAGATTTTTGAATAAATGATCTAATATATATATAGATATATATATAGATATATATATAGATATATATATATATATATATATCTTTAAGAAGATATAGATTATTATAAGTTAAAAAAATTTAAAAGTTATAAATAATAATTAATATTTTTAAAATTTTAGATACTATTATTAGATATTTATCAAAAAAATTTATAATTATTTTTTATTCATATAATTAATATTTAAAGAAAAATTAAAATATAAACAAGATATAAAAAATAAAATTTAAAATTTTAATATTTTTATTTTAATTAATAATTTTTTGTTGATTAAATATTTTATATTTTATTAATTTTATTGAGTTCTTTTTCTTTATTTATTCCAAAATAATTATAATTAGTTTTTAAAAATATATTTTATTACAAATATTATAAATATTTAAAAATTTAAAAATTCTAATCTTATATCTATAATTTAATTGAAATAATATAATTTATAATTTATATATATATTAACGTCATAAATTTCTAATTGACAATATATCCAATTTAAGATCTTAATTTGAATCAAGGTTTTGAAAGATGGTCTTTTACATATATTCATTCTAAAAAGATTTACCATTATCACAACATACTAATTCAAATGTAGTAGACTTCTTCCAAATCCAAGTGGAGCACTACACTTGTCAAACTTTTATTGTTGTGGAGTCCTTTTTCAGCTTATTGACATCTTCTAGATCTAACATAAGAAATATATGAATAATTGATTGAATAAATTGGATGTATAGGATCAACTCACATTAAAAATTGCCATATAGTTTATAATCATGGCTTGTGCAATTGTTGGATGTCAAACAAATATGGACAAAGTCATATAAATTTTCTATAGAATTACTATTTCTTATCATCATAGAATTTGATGGAGAAGATCTTTTTTCAATA